GACTCAACACTGCTCAGCCGACGTTCAGGTCCCCTGGGGGCGTGCGAGTCACGTGGTGGGTCTGTGACGTCACGGGCACACGGCTGACTGTTCCACTCCTGCCAAGCTCGATAATATTTTTTTATATTTTTTATTTCTCGTCACATCTCTAACGTCTTAACAGGAGCTTCAAAACAGCAACATCGAGAGCGACAAGAGGTCAGTGTACTTCCAGGCTGGTTCACCAATGTGAAGATGTCACAGACACTAAACGCTGGGAATTAACATTAAAATTTGATTTAAAAAAAATATTGCGCTTGGAGAATGCGGAATCGATCCCACGTATCTTCTTCTTCTTGGTTCTTTCGGTAAAGTCACGTAGAAGGGAAATAATAAAATAATAAAAATAAAACATAATAAATAATTCTCACGACGTTTCGGCCACAACGCAAGCAGCCGTCCTCAGGTGAAGACCAGGTCTGTCGACGGCGACAGAGTCTGACTGAAACAGCACACGAGCTTGGAGCATGTATATAAGCTGGGCGTCTTGACAAAGGAATTTGCATATCAAGATGAATTTAGCATATTTATGGAAAATGCAGGAAATGTGATTAGTGCTACATATGCCCGTGCATTATGCAGGATTAGCAGCATCAAAGGGAGAGGATATGGGAAATGCAGGAATGTGAATAGTGCTAATTCATCATCAAAGGAAGGGGGTAGGGGTAGCATTAATCAAGGGAAGGAGTGTTAATAGTATGTAGCTGCAGTAACTAAAACCACCACGTAAACAACTAAAGTATAAACTACATAGCATCATCAGTATACTTACTATACTCTACAATAAGCTGAGTTACTAACTGTAAGTTATACATTACACTTCTACGTCGTAAAAATTATATAATATGCTACCATCTAAACTTTATTCTCTTACATCACACGAGTCTACACCGTACTATATACTGCCATAGACAAACCCACATTAACTTACATACTGTATTGCTATAAACCACCCTATACCTTATACATTTTAATATAACACTATGTATTATTCTACCCACCCTAATGTGTATCACACTGCTATTTATTTACTATACAATTACGATACTATATATTACTTTGTTCATTGTATTAAGCATAGAGGATATGGGAAATGCAGGTATGTGAATAGTACTAATCAGCATCAGCAGCTACATACTATTAACACTCCTTCCCTTGATTAATGCTACCCTATCCCCCTCCCTTTGATGCTGAATTAGTTTAGAGAGACAAGAAACTTTAGAGAGACACGAGCGTATTGAGGAGGCACTCTGTTTTATTGTCGCCGTCACAGGCAACGATGCCAGGGTCAGGACAGCAACAGGCTGCTGGCCAACAACGATGCAGGACGATGCCGAAGGTGATGACGTAGACTTGTGCAGCTCCATGGATTCCACTCCAAACAACAACAACGACAAATTTCGATTAAAGCTTTCGTGACTGCAGGGATTCATCTTCTTGGTTCTTTCGGTAAAGTCACGTAGAAAGAAAATAATACAAATAAAACATAAAATAATTCTCCACCTGAAGATGGCTGCTTGCGTTGTGGCCGAAACGTCGTGAGAATAATTTTGTTTTATTTTTATTATTTTATTATTTTCCTTCTACGTGACTTTACCGAAAGAACCAAGAAGATGAATCCCTGCAGTCACGAAAGCTTTAAATCGAAATAAATTATACAATTTTTTTAAAATTTACTTGCTGTGGTTTTCACACCTGACGATGATTGCTTGTGTTGCAGTCGAAAGGTCGTGAGAATTTAATTGGTTTATATTTTATTACTTTATTATTTCCCTTCTACGTGACTTTACCCGAAAGAACCAAAAATATGAATCCTTGCAGTCACGAAAGCTTTAAAACAAACACTGCCGTTACCTGTGACTGCACTCATCTTACTTGTGTGTGTGTGTGCATTAAAACCTGGATTGTATTTCTGAGGGCAAGAGTTTGGAATGTCTTTTGGTAAAGGAGCACGAAGTCACATTGCATCCAGACCCCCTAAAACCCTTCTAGATGCAAGTCAAAATTAACAAGTGCAATGTACAGGTTTCCCTCGCTGTCTGCGCTAGTAGAAGATGCGTTTCAAAAAGGGCACACAAAGCGACACCGCACAAGGATACAGCTGCCTGCCGAGTAGCGTGGACAGTACACACACACAATCTTGTCCTACATCCGAGCGCGTAGCCGCACGTGACTTAAGTGAAACCGCATCTCGCGAATTTTGGGTATGAACCGGCTTGCCCCATAAACAGCGCAAAATCGCACAAACAGGAAGCCGTATAATGCGAGGAGAATCTGTAGCTCTTCTCTCGCAGACGCAAACTTGGGCTGCGCGTCCTGGGAACACAATATCGGTGTGTAGCCGCAAGTTAATAGCTTCTTGGTTCTTTCGGTAAAGTCACGTAGAAGGGAAATCATAAAATAATAAAAATAAAACATAATAAAATACAATTCTCACGACGTTTCGGCCACAACGCAAGCAGAAGAACAGGTCTGTCGGAAAGACAGCGTCTGTCTTTCCGACAGACCTGTTCTTCACCTGTTCTTCTGCTTGCGTTGTGGCCAAAACGTCGTGAGAATTGTATTGTTTAATTTTATTATTTTATTATTTCCATTCTACGTGACTTTACCGAAAGAACCAAGAAGATGAATCCCTGCAGTCACGAAAGCTTTTAATCGAAAGATAACAGCCGTTTGAATTTTGGGCCACGTCTTTAAATTTCAGGACAATGGGTTGAGAGTTGTGCAGTGAGGCCAGGATGAAAACATTTCTAGTCCGGCCAATATCTCGTGAAGTCATACAGAATTATAACCAGTCTTGCGTTAAAGTTTACACCAAACACTCGTGCTATATAACAATAAACTAAATGCAGAACGAAACTGCTCTACAGACTCTAACGAAAAGCATTAAAACTAAGTTATTCAGATGATTTTCATCCATGTGTAGAGGTGTAATTGCGCATGGCTACGAATGTTGAGGTGTGATTATGCATGGCCACGGATGGCCAACAAACACAAGGGGCGGGGTTACGGCCGTACACAAGGGTGGCGCTAGCACCGACGTCCGCATGTGTATCCCCCACGGGCCCCCCCTCGGGGGCGAGTCCTATAAAAGGTGATGAGCTCGAGGGCTCGAGGTCGGGACTCAGCTTTAACCAGAGAAGACGGAAGACCAGCTAGTGTAGGCCCCAGAGCTCCCCTGGCTCGCTGTCCTTATAAGGGCCGACCAGGGCAAGCCGGTGGCGTGGCCCCGAGAGCCCAGACGAAGCTGGTCTGGTGACTCAGGGAGCCGGGATCCCAGCTTAACCAAGCTGGGACAGATAGCCTCCCCTAGTCCCGTAGTGGAGGAATTGGTATAGGTTAGAGGGGTTAGCTGTCGAGAATCCCTGTAGCCAAGTGACCTGTAATAACTGTGTTGGTGTAATAAATAAGTGTGCCTCCGATCCTGTCGTCAAGCCTCCATATATACTTACTACACATGTGCTAACAAAAAACGTGCTATTGAATTGGAATAAAGGGCTTTCACTGTTAAACTGTGCCTCAGATTTCAGCCACGGCAGCTGAGGTTGTCTTCGGCGGTGGTTCAAGTCAGTCTAGCAGCCATGCTTTAGGCCGTGGCTGCAGGCAGCGAGCAGTCACCTCACAGCGGGCTGCGGCAATCTCTACGGTGGCAAGTCAGGTCGGCTTACAGCAGACCGCACCTATTGAGGCATGGCGGGTCTTGTATACGTTGAGTAATGGCAAGTTGAGTTGCACTTGGGCTGTCAGTGGTAGTAGCCCTTGGCGGTTGAATGGGTAAGTGCTTGTCCCAGACAAGGCCATGGTTCAGTGGCAAACCGTGGTAGTGCTCAGAGTTTGGAATGTATCACTCGCAGACCGTGGCAAGTGGAATGGCTTAGTGGCTGACTGGGACATGTCATGGCATGTTGAAAGAGTCAGTGGCTGGTGGCTGTGGCGGGCTGTGGTGGTCCATGGTGATCTGTGGTGATCTGTGGCGATCTGTGGTGATCTGTGGCGGGCTGTGGTGGTCCGTGGTGATCTGTGGTGATCCGTGGTGATTTCATGTTGAGTCAGGGTGGAGAGGCGTCAGCTTGGCTCGTTTCGAGAGGCCAAGATGCAAGGCCGGACCTGATGTGGTTAAAGGGGGGGGGGTTAGGCTACGACAGTAACACACGTTAACTCACATTCTCAACGATTTTCTAAGTCGTCATTATTTCTGGTGACATGGAGGGGCCTTCGTTCATAGGTGGATAAACAAAGGACTGCAAACCATCGTGGGATTTTTCATCATTATTGTAAAGTTACTCTGAGGATTACACACACTTAGTTGCCACGTGACCATTGACTCCTCCAAAGTAAGTAGAAGAACGTCGTCATTTGGAGTCACAATTCGATGAAAAAAACATTCTCTTTTTGAAACTTTTTTAGTTTTTTCTGCTTCCTTTGAAGAGTTTTGTCTGCTCCATTAGCATTCCGCATACACACACTCAGACATGCTCTATCCACTGCGAGATGAAGGCCTCTCCGAAGCTGCCGCCATCCCTCACGCTCGCACAACAATGAATCTAGCACACACACTCGGATATCCTCGCTCCGTCGACCCCGCAAGTGGACGTGTTCCCACTCCGCCGTGAGTGTCGCTCACGGCGAGGTAGCAACACTCGGCACTGCCAGGTGCAGACCATCTCGCGCTCTCACACCTACATCACCCGGAGAGCTACGGTGGTCATCACTCATCAAGGCCTCGATACAGAGACGTTGCTTTCTCTGTGTGCCTATGTTTGTTCCCTCTCTCTATGTATCTCTGTGATATCTGTCTGCTTATATGTCTGTCTATATGTTTCTGGTTCTGTGTTTTTATCTCTCTCTCTCAAATGTAGTATTCTCAGGAAGAACATAATCAACCAGGTAGGGTGTAGACTGTTATGTTATCCGACTCTCTGTTGTATTACATTCCATTTCTAAGTATACTAGATTTGTGTTTCTATTTCATTTATTCCTGATGATGATTGCTTGTGTTGCAATCGAAACGTCGTATGCTAGTATTTAATTGATTACTTTCTCTTTATACGTGACTTTACCGAAAGAACCAAAGAGTCATTCCTGCAGTCACGAAAGCTCCAAATTAAGATTGTACTTAGCAGGCTCAAATCCCTGCTTAGCTTCCTAGACAGACCCAGTGGAGGTGAGGCACATCCATGGATGGTTTCATCGTGGGAAAACGTGAAAGGCGTGCGAGTTAGAAACACGTGCGCTTGTGCCGGCCGTGGTTTCGATGCTTTGTCCTTACCTGGAGGAACCCACTTGGGTAGAGGCGATGCGGTGGCACGATCCGCGACGCCGGCTTTGTTGAACGCGGGCGGGGGGAGGCGCTTCGCTGATTGCCGAGGGGCAGGATCTGGCCCGACATCCGCCCCGGCTCCACGCGCCGCGCCTGTTGTTCTGCTGCCCCTGGCCACGGCGGCTTTGCTCCCTCTCCTGTCGGCGGCGGCGGTGACCCTGGGCACCTTAAACTTCCAGGAGGGTTTCTTGTGGTCGCTGTCATCGCTGTCGGACTTCCCAGCGGACTCCGAGGACTCGCCCGTCTCGTTGTCTGTCGTGTTTTAGACAACATGTGATTACCCGCCGTCGTCGTCGCTGCATTGTGGACACTGTTGTTTCATATTTCTGATCGGTCAGAATTACTTTACCAAATAAAAGCAAGTATTCCAATGTGGTCATGGCACATATTGAATGTTTGCCAAATATTACTATTGAAAATTTTTTTTTGGGAACAATACAGTCGTAGTAATAGTGCTACAGAGTCAACTGAAGCTTCAAATCAAGATTTTATCTCGACTTTGAAAAATCAATAAAGAATACGATACGATTTAGGAAAAAGCCAGCAGGAGACTTTGGTGCAGAAGATGCAGACTTATGTGGTTTGAACAGAGGGCAACACATCAGCATCCTCAGTGGCCTGGCACTGCCATGCAAAACTAAACAACTTTGTGTCATCAGGTAAGGCCCACTGAGCCATACGTCTCTTCTTCAGAAGCGACTTGGCTATCACAAATGGTAGCTCAAGAAAGTGGCCAATTATCACGTGGAGATGTATCGCGGCGAAATATTCTAAATGTGGAGGGAAAACTGGAGGACCCGGAGAAAAATCCACGTGACCACGGGGAGAGACACGCAAACTCCAAATATACAGCAGCAGGCGTCAGGGTCGGGATCGAACGCACGACCTCCTGTACACCAGACGAGGAAGTTAAACATCTCCTCGCCACCGTGATGATGATGAGAGAGAGACGCAAACTCCAAATATACAGCAGCAGGCGTCAGGGTCGGGATCGAACGCACGACCTTCTGTACACCAGACGAGGAAGTGAAACATCTCCTAGCCACCGTACAAACACATAGATTCCCCGTGCAGCCATTCAGAGGCTGTTGTGGCAGCTGCCGTGAGCGAGCACGTATGAAGGTCGGCACGGCATACATGGGGGTGGATGGCCAGCACCACGCCTGGAATTGCACCAGGTACTCATTTGAGGCTGAGTCGACCTCGGAGAGGCCCAGGACTGGTTCATATAATCGTTACTGGTGTTGGCAGTGAGCACCATACATGTCCACACGCGTGCAAACATACAGAAAGCCACAAATCTGTAGAGTCTCATACCGGGTGGGTCGTCCGTGTTGACGGTGGCACTGCCCACGGCTTCCTGTGAACTCTCCCGCGAAGACGCCGCCACTTCCGTCTGATCACCAGCGAGGGCAAGGACCTCCTTGAGCTCCCTCTCAAAGAGACGCTCGTCGTCCAGGGACGGTCTGCGCAGAGTGGCGCAAAGTGCGATTGCAAACGACGACAATGCACAGAGGTTGGTGTGGGCAGTGCAATCTTCTTTTCTTCTTATATATGTAGTAAGTATATATGGAGGCTTGACGACAGGATCGGAGGCACCCTTATTTATTACACCAACACTGTTATTACAGGTCACCGGGCTACAGGGATTTCTCGACAGCTAACCCCTCTAGCCTATACCAACTCCTCCACTACGGGACTAGGGGAGGCTATCTGTCCCAGCTTGGTTAAGCTGGGATCCCGGCTCCCTGAGTCACCAGACCAGCTTCGTCTGGGCTCTCGGGGCCACGCCACCGGCTTGCCCTGGTCGGCCCTTAGAAGGACAGCGAGCCAGGGGAGCTCCGGGGCCTATACTAGCAGGTCTTCGTTCTTCACTGGTTAAAGCTGAGTCCCGACTCCCGAGCCTTTCGGCTCATCACCTTTTATAGGACTTGCCCCCAAGGGGGGGCCCGTGGGGGATACACATGCGGACGTCGGTGCGAGCGCCACCCTTGTGTACGGCCGTAACCCCGCCCCTTGTGTTTGTTGGCCATCCGTGGCCATGCATAATCACACCTCAGCATTCGTAGCCATGCGCAATTACACCTCTACATCACCCCCCCCTGTACAGCTCGCAGCCGTCCCCGGCTGCAAAAAAAAAATCAGAATAAAGGTGCATCCCTCACGAAAACCCCGTGTGTGTGCCTCGCGTAATTTTTAACAAGAACAAGAAAACCCCAACAAGAACAACAAGAGGAAGAGAGAGAGAGAGAAAAAAAAATAACCCGACGCACCCTCCCCGGATAAATACCCCAAAAGCAACATATATATACACTCCGGACGCCACCTTTCCCATTGTCCGCAAGGCCCCCCAACGGCCGACCTCACAACACCCCTTCCCTTTTGTCCGCAAGGCCCCCCAACGGCCGACCTCACAAAAGTCTGCGCGTTTTGGCGCGCGTTCTCGCGGCGGGCCCGTCACAAGGGCCCGTCCCGGCACGCTCAGTGATGGTTGTTGACGGTCCGGGTGCAAGAGGGTCAGGCTTCGCTGCCGAGTGACCCCCGACCCCTCCGGGAGGGGTTGGTGGGCGTGGGCCCGTCACTCCTGTTTCACCTGGGGACGGAACAGTTGGCGTCAGGTTAGGCGAGTGCAGCGACGATGGGGAGTCGGCGACACCCTCACACGTTTGGCCATGCGTGTGTGTGTGTGAACCCCGGGGCGGCGTGACGAATGGTTTTAACCTTGAGGGGTGCACATACCACCGGCGCCTCCCCCATTTGACGCGAACACATTGCGGCCGCAAAACCTGCACGACCTCCACTGGCCCCCGCCACGGCCGTACCAATTTCGACGAGGTTGCCAGCGGCACCTGAGGACAGTGCAACCACGCCCTGTCCCCTGGTTCCCATTTGACCACCTGCACCCGCCCCAACCGAAGCCTCTCGTTCGCCTTCTGGCGGAGTTCAGAATTTTGCACGGCCGCTTCCCGCGCCTCAGACAATTTAGCGATGTTAAATTTAACGTGTTCGGACAAATTAGACTTCGCCTGGAGCGCCGAGAGCTTCAGCTGGGTCGCCACAGGGGGGTTAACTTCGCGCCCATACATTAAAAAGAAAGGGGAAAATCCGGTGGCCGCATGGGGAGCCATTCTGTAGGCCTGCAACACACCGGCTATGCGGAGGTCCCAATCCGTCTGGGATACCGACACCTGCTGGGACAGCATGGACGTGATGGTCCGATGCAGCCGTTCCACCATCCCGTCAGTTTGTGGGTGATACGGAGAGGTCCGAACCTTCTCCGTACCCAAGAGGTCGCACACCTCACGTAGGAGTTTACCAGAAAAATTCCTACCCTGGTCAGTAAGCAGCCGTTCCGGAGCACCCTTGTCGAGGACATAGCCCTGGACAAAGGCCTCCGCGATGGCTGCTGCCGACTGGTTCGCCAGGGGCCAGGCCATAGGCCATCTAGTGAAGTATTCAACCCCCGTTAGTAAATACCTATTGCCCCTGGGTGTAGCGGGGAATGGGCCAAGTATGTCCAGAGCGACGAGCTCGTTAACCCGGGAAACTTTTATGGACTGCAGCGGAGGGTTGGACCCCCTAGCAGGTGGCTTCCTCTGCGCGCATTGCGTGCATGACCCCAAGAGATCCCCCACGTCCTTTTCCATGCCCGGCCAGAAGAAATCTAGCTGGAGCGTGGCAAAGGTCTTATGAACCCCCAAGTGCAGAAGCCGCTCATGAACAGCCCATACCACCTTACCCCTTAAAGCAGCAGGCACCACGAGCCGCTGGCGCCGGGTTTTACCGTCCCAGTGCATTAAAAGTCCCTGGAACAACCCCCACGAGTCAACGTTTTCCACCCCCTGGCCAACCCCCCCGGCGCGACGGCGCAGAGCGAGGAGGGAGGTGTCCTCCATTTGGAGGCGTCCCCATTCCGCGACCGACAACCCCAGCAACGAATCCCTCCCTTCTTGCTCGATAGGACCCGAAACCGAAGGCGCATCGGCAGCGGCCACGAGGACCGAATCGGTGGTGACGTTCGGAGGCCTACAACGGCCCGAACCCAAGAGGCACGCGCACTCCGAAGTGGGTGGCAATCGCGACAGGGCGTCAGCGTTCGTGTGGCGGAGACCCTTACGATATGTGGTGACAAAGTCATAGTCCTGGAGAATCTCCAACCATCGAGACAACTGGCCCGATGGTTGTTGAACCCGCAGGGCGTATTGTAGGGCGGCATGATCTGTACGGACGGTGAATCGCCGACCGTACAGATACGGGCGGTACTGCTGAATGAAATAAACAATCGCCAATAATTCCCGACGGGTAACGCAGTACCGCTGTTCGGCTGGAGACAGTACCCGACTACCGTAAGCCACCACATGCTCTACGCCCCCAATGAGCTGGGACAGCACGCCCCCGATGCCCGTGTTACTTGCATCTGTATCGAGCAAGAAGGGTTGTGAAAAATCCGGGTAATTCAACGGCGGAGCCCCCACCAAAGCATTTCTGAGGGCGCGAAAAGCAGCCTCCTCCTCCGGCCCCCAATGAAACCTGACTCCCTTGGACGTCAAGGCATGCAATGGTTTCGCAATCGTAGCGAAGTCAGCCACAAATCGCCGATAATACGACGCGAACCCAATGAAACTCCTGACCTCTCCCACAGAGGTGGGAGTCGGCCAGGAGCTGACGCATTCCGTTTTGGCGGGATCAGTGGATATCCCCGAGCGCCCAACAATGTGACCCAAATATCGCACCGATTCGCGGAGTAAATGGCACTTCTGTGGTTTAAATTTCAAATTGGCAGCCCGCATTTTGAGAAAGACAGCACGCAACCTCTGGAGGTGTTCCTCGAAGGATTTGCTAAAGACGATGACATCGTCTAAGTAAATCAAACACGAATCCCATTGCAAACCTGCCAAGACCAATTCCATTAACCGCTGAAAAGTTGCCGGCGCAGAATGTAAACCCATCGGCAAGCGGTTAAATTGGAAGAGACCTTGCGGTGTACGAAAAGCAGTCTTAGGTTTCGATTCGTCATCCAGAGGAAGCTGCCAGAATCCAGATAGCAAATCGAGGGTGGAAAAGAATCGCGCACCGGCCAAGGCGTCGAGCGACTCATCCATCCGAGGAAGCGGGTACGCATCTGCCACAGAGATTTTGTTTAGACGGCGAAAGTCGACACAAAATCTCAGTGAGCCGTCGTGTTTTTTCACCAAAACGATGGGCGCGCCCCACGGGCTGTTGGAAGGGGAAATGATATCGGCGGCTAGCATGTCATCAACAGCCGATTTGACATGATCCTTTTCGGCGGGACTCAACCGAAAGGGATTTTGGCGGATTGGCGCGCTGTCACCCGTGGCAATATGGTGTCGCAGCAATTTAGTACAACCAATATCAAATTTGTGTTGACTAAAAACGTCAGCAAATTCGCTCAGGAGAACTCGCAGCTGCGCGCGCTGCGAGTCGGACAGGTCCACTGAACCCGCGCAAAGCGCATCCAGCCATCCGTCATCACAGTCCGAATGCGGTCGCGACGGAGGATCGGTGGATACCTGACCCACGAGTGGTTCCTCATAGGGTACCGGCGTTGCGTGTGCAAGCACGGTCCCTTGAGGAACCACGGCCGTTCGCGATCCCACATTAAGGACTGCAATGAAGGGGTCCCCATCCCCTCTCACCATGGTCTGAGCCGCGAGCAAATCGGGTCCATTGACCCCGGCCCGAGATGGTCCCAACAAGACCCCCCTATCCGCAACCCCTTCATTAAACGGCCGACGCAACCTAAGAGGGACGAGCATCTGAGCCCCCGGAGGTACGCGCACAGTTTTTGTCAAGAGCGCCTGCACGGTGGCAAATGCCCGACGCTCCGTGGTGGGGGAAGACAAAAAAGTAACGCGTCGGCCCGATGGGAGCTCAATGCACCCCTGGTCAATCAGGATACGGATGGGCATTTTGGCCAAGAAATCCGTCCCCAACAGGCACGGAACCGCGAGTGAGGAGGAAACCAAAACAGGGCCAGATAACTTAATGTCTCCGATGCAGATAGTGGCGCGGATTTGCCCAATAATGCCCAGCGAGCCCCCGTTAGCGGCATAGCACGGCACGTCAACAGGGAGCAAGGGACGACTTTGAACGGGAAGGATGTTATAAATCAAATCAGATATAATGGTCGCTGATGCCCCTGTGTCAATTAAAATCCGCACCTCTACCCCATCAATGTGACCGACCACGACCGATGATCCCGCCGACGCAGCAATGACACGATGGGCGAGCTCCGACCACTGACCCGGTTGGAGCGCCCGCCGCATTACCGAACAATCGCGCGCGACGGATGGGGAATTTGGAGCCCTGTTTAGTTGAGCGCATGAGTGTGTGTCGGATGTGTGCGTGGGCCAAACGTGTGAGGTGCCGCGACTCGCCGTATTTCTCTGCTGGAGCTTGGGAGGAGACGGCGTGGCGTCCTGACGAGGTGTCGCCCCGCGCTGAC